CTTAATAGACTTCTAAGAGAGGACAATGAATGTGGTTCCATACGTGTTCACTTTATAATTATTCATTAAACTTGATATTTACGTGTTAAAAAAAAGTTCAATTCACCAGGAAGAAATGATGATTCTAAACTTAGATACATCTAATAACATGATTTCAAACATATAATGATAAAAAAACTGCTGCAAGGACAAACTGCTAAACCCACCATCATATTGTCACAGCTTAAAAAACTTTTAAAATAGCTTAAATAGACAACAGATTAAAATATAAAGATCTGAACTAAACAAGTAACAAGACTGAGTTAATAGACACCTAGAGAACTTTGCAGTCAACAAATAGAGAATACATACTTTCTTCAAGCACCTTTATAAAAATCTATCCTTTATAAATAAGTCAAATATCAAGAGATCTATCATACAGAACATGTACTCTGACAACACTATAATTCTACAATTAAGCTGTAAAATGATAACTAAAACATTTCCCATAACTTCAGGATGTAAAAAAATAATAATAAAATAAAAATAAAAAATAATAAAAACAATATTTTGATTAACATATCCTACCGATATAATACGATCTCCTTTTCTGAGCTCTCCACTAAGATCAGCAGGTCCTCCGGCCAAAATAAAGGAAATAAATATTCCTTCTCCATCTTCACCTCCTACAATGTTGAAACCAAGGCCTGTTGAGCCACGATGAAGAACAACTTTTCTAGGTTCCCTAAAAATTAAAAATAAATATTGAATACCTTAGAAATTTTACCTAAAACTTGACATTCTATCAATGAGAATTCCCTTTTGATAACTCTTATGTTATCTATCAAACTATAAAGGCAGCTAGGTGAAATATAAAAGGTGTTCAAAACTGTGAAGCAAAGAAATTCTTTCTAAGCCTAGAAATTAGGCTTAGAAATTAAAAGGAAAAATCTTAACTTTATATAAAAGTTAAAAACCCATGTTAAAAAGCAAACAAACATGAAACTAAAACAAAAGGAAGAAAACGTGGAAATTAGAAAAATAATGAATTAAAGAGCCTACTCAGAAAATATATACATATACTTATGAAAAGTCAATGTTACACATTTTATTGCCTATGAAGCAGTCACTGCCCCTACTTCTTAGATAGTGTAAAAGGTAGATAGATTTCTTTGTGTTAGAGAAGGTAGGTCCTTTTTCCAGCCCCAAAGGGATGAATCATGACTAACCCTTTGCAATCCCTTTTCCCTTTGCTAAGGGTCCCAAAGGGATGAATCATGACTAACCTAAGCCAATCATTGCAATCCCTTTTCCCTTTGCTAAGGTGAAGCTATGACCCTATTCTGGCCTCTGAGAAATGAAAGGAAATGTTATTGTCACTTCCCAAGAAAGACCCTAACAAAGACAAAGTACATTTGTTTCTCTTCCTATCCAAACTAACTCCCACAAAAAATAATGAACAATAAAATTTCATTACTGGTTTGAACATATTACAATCATGAAGCTAAGACCAAGCAGAGACACCATGGACCTAGGGTTGCTACACAAACACTGGAATTGCCTATTTCCAGACTTTTTATATGAAATAATGAAATATCTGTATTTCAAAAGTCATATCCATCTATGTACTTACCTACCTCTGCTTTTCTTCCATTCTAAGATGCATCTTTTCTGCCTCCCTGTCAATTTAAAATCTCTGAAATCAGAATACATCTTACCACTAATGTTTCACATTTGCTACCAGTTATACATAGTTGTGTGAAAACTATTCATATTCTCTGGTAAGACCATAAAATTTCCATCAGCAGATTATTTCGGGTAATGAAACAGAGAACATCACTTGAGATTAGAATGTATAGTATTTGATGAATATTTTAAAAATTTTATCTGATTTTTCTAAAATATCAGAGAAAGCTATTGGTAACAAAAGGTTTGATAAAAGTAAATAACTTTTACAAATGAATTTTAGGGATCCTTCCATATAATGTGGAATTAATCTTAAATATTTGTTTACTCAAAACTTAAAATGGTGTTTTCTAGTCATACATAGGTATCAGTTTTGCCAGTTAGTTACAGGGTTAATAAAACTACATTTTCTTGTCAAAAATAGCAAAACTAAATCATATATTGTTTAGGAAATACTGTATATACAAATATACACAAAACAAAAAAGAAAATAATAAATCCAAAATTCAGGAAAGCAGTTAACTTGGTGGGGCAATGTAAGAGAAGTAGCGTAGGATGAGAGGTACAGGATAGTTTTCACTATATTGGTGGTGTTTCATTTCTTTGTTATATGGTGGACTCATTGTTTAGGGTTCCTATTATGCTTTAAACATATGTATGAATCATAATTTTACATTAGCAAATAATACTTAATTTAAAAATATCCAGGTGAAATCCAACAATATTTCTAGAGTGAAATAAATTCTGATTTTTTCAAATAACATATGCCCATGAAAAGATGTTCAACATCCTTAGTCATTAGGGAAATGTATTAAAATCACAAAGATTTGACCCACCTACTACAATGGCTATAAAACAAAACAAAACAAAACAAAACAAAACAAAACAAAAGTGATGGTGAGGATGTGGAAAAACTGGAACCCTCATTTATTGATAGTGGTAATGTAAAATGGTGTGGCCACTACAGAAAACAGGGGATTCCTTATAAACTTAAACACAGCTACCATGTGATGCAGCAATTCTACTAATAGCTATATATCTAATGGCATTGAAAGCAGGGACTCAAGCAGATACTTGTATGCCAATGTTTATCACAGCATTATTCACAAGATCCAAAAGGTGAAAATAACCCAGGTGTCCATCAACAGATGAATAGATAAACAAAATGGGGTATATACACATGATGGACAATTATTTAGCCATAAAAAGGAATGAAGTTCTGATACATGCTACAATACAGATGAACCTTGAAAAATATGCTAAGTGAAAGAAGCCAGACACAAAAAGATAAGCATTTTAAGATTCCACTTATACGAACAATCTAAGCAAATGCATAGAGACAGAAAGCAGACTACAGGTTACCAGGAACTGGGAGGACAGGAAAATGGTGCGTTATTGCTCACAGTTTGTCTGAGGTAATAGAAGTTTTGGAAATAGTGTTGATGGATGTGTGCATAATATTATGAATGTAATTAATGCCACTGAACAGTACGTTTAAAAATGGTTAACATAGCCAATTCCACATTATATATATTTTATCATAATTAAAAAAATTAGGAATGTACTATATAAAATATCACTGAGTTGTATACTTTAAATGGGTGCACTATATGGTATATGGATCATATCTCAATAAAGCTGTTAGAAAAATGAACTTTAGAATCATCAACTGTTTGTTGGGATTTTTCTTTCTTTTCTTTTTTTAATTGGTAATGTGAGATAAACTCTGAAAGACTGCTTAGAATCAAACTGTGGAGAGTAATTCTAATGGGAAGGTAAAGGTTTTTATACTTCAATACCTGGGCAAGGTAGTGTAATTATCAAAAAGGAATGATAAAACAAACATTGGTTTAGGAAGCCATACCTAGTAACCAACCACCTGATTTTCACAGAAAACAACAGAAAACAGGTAGACCTGTTGTGTAATACTACAAAGTCTAATACTATAAAGGCAAGAGATATATAATGAAAAAAAAAAAAGGTGAACAGCAATCAATATGCTAATATATCTTTTAGTTAGAAAAAATTTAGTTAGAAATTAAAGACTAGATAAGCCACTATTTTTTTCTCTTTACTTCTATAAATAGGCATTATTAGAAAACAACAACAAAACAGCTATAAGAGATCATTACAGGAGCACAACCTAAAGACTAACAGCCTTGAAAATTCGTACCACAATCGTAAACACTATTCTTTCTGCTAATTTTCATTCCAAACATAATTACTGTACACCTATTAGATTAAATTCTCAACATAGCTAACTCTTGAAGAACAAAGGCAAACACAGCTAACTCTTGAAGGACAAAGGCAAACATTCTTACATGACCTTAAAGAAATCACTGTCTGAAGTAAGGACAAGTAAAGAATAATTACAATTATGAAAGTTCAAAAATAATAATTCTAATCATGTAATTAATAAAAACATAAAAAAGACATTAATTAGCATGTTTCATGTTAAATGCCATAATTAATATGAAATACTTATACAAATTATAAAGCAAACTATATAAACAATATCTTATCACTATATTGAATAATGTGAAAAATATCTAAAATACTTTTTCACTCATTTATTCACACCTAGTTAAGAGTTCTTTGGGAATGAAAAGACAGATAATCTATAAACTTTAGGCAGTTAGTAATGTTAACTAAAATTGTAGGTGTCAGGATATCAAGGATATATAACAAAGAGAAAATACCACTTGTTGAATTCTGAATGTGAATATATTTCTGAAAATAAATACCATAATATTATATGGTATATATTAAATAAAAATATATGAAAAGTTAGTTTTAAATATGTGTAAGTATATTCTTAACTTTTACCTAAACTAATCTGTAAGGATAATTAACCAATCATTAAAAAATAGCAATATTAAAAAAAGAACAGTGATTTATTTGGAGTATACAAGATTTTTACACTTTAGGCTCTTCTATGAATGTGCTAATGAAAAAAATTAAGGTTTACATTCATCATCTATCAACAAAATTTTTTAGTCCTGAAATTGTGGCTATCTTACTTGGCTGATTATAATTCCATCTAATAGTTGGCTTTATGTAAGAAGGATAAATGTTCAGCTCCTTACCGTGTAATTTCATCATCTCCAATCATTACTTTTGAAACAGGTGAGTATCTGGCTGGCGATGCTGGTGTCTGGCCCAAGTAAGAAGATGGACTAACATGGTTATCAACAGGCTGAGAAGCAGCTTCAAAGTAAAGAAAGTAAAAACACTTGAAAAATGAAACAAGTCATTCAGTACCACATTTGTGAATTATCAATTTACAGGTTAATGTATAATTCATATTCACTTATTTTTATAATAGAGTTATATAGAGAATATTTATCAGGTAAAAAAATTAGACAAGTTCAAGTTCATAGGTAAAAATGAGTTTAGATATTCAAATCAGTAGAACAAACTTATAAAACCAAATGTTTAACAGTACGTTTTCAATTCAGCTTATAAGAAGCCTGGAGTCTTCACTCTGTCCTAACAACAACTAAAAAGCTAAACAAACTGAAAAATCAACAACTCTTCTTTGATTCTTAAGATAAGGGAGGTGACAGTGCAAACCCCTGTCCCCCAAATTGAAGAGACTGACAGGTAAATACAGTGAATCACAACTTAAACAGAGCAGAAACCTCTGTGGGAACTATTGCTGAGGTAGAGAAACCCGAATCATAATTGACAAATTTCTGATGGCTCATTGTGGATAACTCTGAGAGTCAAAAACTCCAGGGGTGCCCTGTAAGTTTTTTAAGTTTTACTACGTGGATCTCTATTGAGTCTCACAGTGAATACTGGAGGGAAAAATCACCTTGTGCTTCTGGCAGGAGAAAAGGAAAAGGAACCATTTTGGAATACACAAGTACCTTTTATTCTTCTCAACAGAGTTTGCCCACAGGAGAAACTATTAACCAGAGCCTGACCTGTTGGGGATTTAGTGGAGTCTACCTGACCTGAGAAAACGGAACTAGAAAAATACAACCTTCCTAGGCTGAATCAAGAAGCAGCAGAAAATCTAAATAGACCGATCAGCAGCATGGAAATTGAAACAATCATCAAAAACCTACCAAAAAGTAGAAGTCCAGGAACAGATGGCTTCACCAGTGAATTCTACCAAACATTCAAAGAAGATTTAATACCTATTCTCCTCAAACTCTTCCAAACAACTGAAGAGGAGGCAATACTTCCCAACTCATTTTATGAGGCCAATATTTTTTACCTTGATACCAAAACCTGGTAAAGATAACACAAAAAAAGAAAACTACAGACCAATCTCTCTCATGAACACATGCAAAAATCCTAAATAAGATACTAGCAAACCAAATACAGCAACATATTAAAGAGATTATACACCACGATCAAGTGGGCATCATTCCAAATGCACAGGGATGGTTCAACATATGCAAATCGATTAACGAGATACACTACATATACAAATTAAAAAATAAGAATCATATGATCATATCAATAAGATACAACCAAATACAGCAACATATTAAAGAGATTATACACCACGATCAAGTGGGCATCATTCCAAATGCACAGGGATGGTTCAACATATGCAAAGCAAATCACGAGATACACTACATATACAAATTAAAAAATAAGAATCATATGATCATATCAATAGATGCAGAAAAAGCCTTCGACAAGATACAGCACCCATTTATGATAAAAACACTTAACAAAATTGGAATAGAAGGAAAGTACATAATAAAGGCCATATATGACAAGCACTCAGCCAACATTATACTTAATGGTGAAAAACTAAAAACCTTCCCTCTAAGATCAGGAACAAGGCAAGGCTGTTTACTAGC